CCCTACGTTGGTGGACTTCCAACACCGCAAGATCACCGTACTGGGCCAGTTCAAAGCAAGAATCTCGTTTAACGGGTAAACATCTGTGAGATGCCTTTCACAAACAGCTGAGATGCCTTTCAATTTTTCTGCGCAAACCAGTTAGCGACCAGCTTCAGCGGCTCCTGTCCGATGATGTAATTGAAAGTACTCATGCCTCTGAATTGATCTCTCCTATAGTTGTCCTCTGCAAAAAAGATGACAGCATCCGCCTATGCGTTGACCTTAGAGAGTTCAACAAAGAATTGTAGTTGATAGCTTCCCCCTGCTTCATACGAAAGAGTTACTGCGATCTCTTGATGGTGCACATTACTTCTCAAAGCTCAACTTGGCGTCTGCATATTACCAAGTTACACTTCATCTGGACCTCCCGGCTTTCATTACCCACGACGGCCTTTTTCGGTGTAAAAGAGTGTGCTTCGGATTGGCGTCTGCTCCAACCGCATTCCAGAAACTCATGACTACAATCCTGCCGGGTTGCAAGAGGGTCCTCTGCTACACAGACGATATCATCATCTTTGGCAGGACTGAGTTGGAGCATGTGAGAAACCTGGACAAGGTTCTCCTGCACATCTCCGATGCTGGACTCAAATTCAGTAAGTGCCTTTTTAATGCATCAGAGATATCATTTCTTAGACGTTATGTCAGCGCAAAAGTAATTGCACCCCTTCAAGCAAAAGTTGGCGCAATTGCACACGCTGGCACCTCCACTGATGTAGGCATGCTGTGTTCGTTTCTTAGTCTTGTGGAATATTATTCAAAGTTCATACCCAACCTTGCCGAAGAGGTACAACCTATGTGTAGGCTACTTCGCAAGGATGTTCATTTTGAATGGGATCTTGCTACTGAGCAAAACTTTGCAAAGGTGAAGAAACTACTTGTATCGAGAAGAGTACTGCGAGTGTTCGACCCAGCGCTTCCAGTTATTGTAGCCACAGATGCCTGGGCATATGACCTGGCCAGTACTGCAACAAGTTGATGGTCTATTCATTCGAACCATTGCATTTTCATTACGAACCTTGACAGACAGAACCGAAGTACTCGACAGGAGAACGCGAGGCCCTGGCCTGCCTATGGCCATTCGAGAAAGGGCACATGTACCTCTGAGGATGATCATTCACTTATCACCAAGCCCATGTATTCCTGCTGTCAACGCAAAGCACAGGACAATGGCCACTTCGCACTGCAAGGTGAACTGCTCAGTTGCTGCGGTACAACTTAGTTTTACAGTTCCGGCGTGGGGAGCACAACAAAGTCGCAGACACTTTGTCCCAACTTTCTGTACCTGGCACAGAAGATGGCCTTAAGATTGAAGAAGAAATGGTGTTTATCATAATGCCTTCAGTTCATATCGATGACCTCCGTATTGCCACAGTTGAGGATTGCAAGCTCCCACAGGTTGCACAATTCGTTCAGGCTACATGGCCAACGAAAAAAACGTCACCTGAACTAAGACATTACTATAAGGTGTAAGGGGAACTATCCATAGTGGACGGCCTGTTGATGCGCTCGGAACGCGTTGTAGTTCCAGCCAAGCTCACTCCTACATTCATTCAACTAGCCCATGAATCACACCCAAGAATAGTGAAGACAAGGCAACGTCTTCACGAAAACTACTGGTGGCCAGGTGTGGACAAACAAGTTGAGAATGCTACGCACAGTTGCGCAACTTGCCAAGCGGCAGACAAGAGTGCTAAAGAGCTACCCCACGCCACTACAGCCAGTAGCTATTCCTGACTGGCCTTAGAGCAACCTAGCTATTGATGTTGTTTGGCCATTTGAGTGTGCATCAGCTGACTGTAGTTTTGTCATCTCTGTAGTCGAATACTTCTCAAGGTGGCCGGAAATAGCTTTCTGCCGTGAAGCCTCCTCCCATACAGTGCTTGACTTCCTCTTGTTGATATTTGCACGGGAAGGCTATTCTGTTGAACTCGTCTCGGACCACGGACCACAGTTTACATCTCAAGAATTTGTCTTTTCTTCAAGACAGGAGTATCAAACATGGCTTTTCGGTTGTGTATCACCCCAAGCCAATAGAAAGGTTGAAAGGTTTAACCGTGTCTTCAAATCATACATTCAGTTGGCAATACTGAAGAAGCGCCCAATAAGAAATACTGTTACAGAGTACTTGGAAACATACAGAGCCACTCCTTATAGTACCACTGGACTCTGTCCGGCAGTGCTTCTACGTAGCAGGCACATGAGGACATCCTTGGATGTCATTGGCTATCCCACTGCGAACGTCTTCACAGATCTCACTCGGGAGAAGTACTCACTTCGGGAAGGGGTGAAAGAGCACCAGCGTAAAAGCAAGAATTATGTTGACCGATGCAGAGCTGCTCGAGTACCCAAGTTTCAAGTTGAAAAGTTGTGAAGGTCAAAAAGCCAGTCCTTGGTCCGAAAAGCTCTCCCACTTTCAGACCTCCTTTAAAAATTGTCAAGCGAATAGGACGCTGGTCCTTCTGCCTTGAAGATGGTCACACGTGGAATGCTTCTCAATTGACTGCAGTTCCCAAGGAAGCCTTGCCGCACCATGGCGACAAAGGACACTCCTACGACACCGTGCCAAGTCCACCAATACCTCGCAGAACGACTCACTATTCTGAGCTTCGCCAGCACCCTGCTCCTAACGATCATGATCATGATGATGATAGTGCTTCAGTGCATGATGATGGTGATAGTGCTCCAATAGAAGGTGATGGTGATTGTGCTCCAGTTGTTGGCACCAAACCCGCTGGTGAGCCATCATCTCTTCATAGGTTCGCGAGAAATTGAAGACAACCCACTGGATTTTAGGACTATGTATAAGGCACCATGATGTGAACATGACTCTTTTTGTAATTATTTTTTGTGCATATATTTAGGAAGGAACAGATGTAGTGTTGAAAGTCGACACTAGGTGGCTTTAGTTAGGTTCAACTGTCACCAAGAGATGGTGCCACCTCTGACATATATAAATACGACTGTCCCCAGAATAAAGCAGTTCTTGTGTGGCACGGGTGGAGTGTGTTCATTGTCCTCAGTCAAGCCGTATTGCCGACACCACAGTATGCAATGTCTTTTTGTCGCGAGGGTTACTTACGTGTGTCGGGTACTAAACTGCTTGTGAGATAAAGATCAGGCTGTGCACAAAGTATTCACCACTTTCGTGTAGAGCTAGCAATGAGAACCAATGCACAGGGATAATTTGTTTCTCCCTTCAGTATCTGCTGAGATAATGCCTTTGTTTGTACAGTAGCTGATGCCTCGATTTCTCTTTTACAAATTATCAGATCGTTCACACTTTTACACCATGTCTGCCCTTGGCTCTGACTAACTAAAATTGAACCTAGAAAATGTACTCAGCCCTGGATAACCAAGTTGAGCATGATATACAGTAGTAGCAATTAAGGGTGCGGTAAAATATGTTCTTCCCCAATGCCCTGTTTGCTTAGGGATGTGAACACATGTATGTGCCGAATCGTAGCACATACAATCGGCACATACGAATCGTATGTGTCAAGCGAAGAAAAGAGGCAAAGAAAGAAGGATAACAACTCTAATGAAATAATTTAAACCCTGGAGTAGTGGGAGTGCAGGCTGATCAGCTCTCGGCTCGAGACAAGAGAATGCCTGATCTCTCGTTCTAGAGCAGCAGCAGTCACTCGCAGCTTTCTGAACGTAGGCCACCCACCCTTATTTTATTTTTATTGGCTCGAACCTAGGTTCTGACAACAACCACACGTCCGGCAATCACTAGTTCTTTGGAAATCACTACGTCGCAGAAAGTGCTTAGGTGTCCTCATGGTCTTAAATGCTGCATTCAAGCTAAGAAGTGAAGGGTGAGGATACAGCAGGCGGCTGGCATGCCGCCAAAAGGAGAAAAAAATCACAAGGCATAAAAGGGGAATATGCAACCAACGTAGTTCCATGAGACAGATACCAACAGCATAGAACCGTGGTTGCGCGAATAATGAAGACAAACTTTGAAGCAACACAGTCATAATTGTTGTAGGTGTGCTGTTTATAAATGTAATGTGCCATTAATCAGTCAAGGTGTTTTAAGGATACTGCTTTATTATTAAATTCGAGGCTCTGACTTAGTTATGTGTAAAGTTTGAAAAACAGCGTGTTGAGTAAAATATGCTCTATTTCTGGGAAATGACGTTACTCCATCCCCATTCTATTTTGTACAAAAGACACTTAATTACATTCCTATTCAATTCCTCCAAGTGTTGTCCCCATCGCATTCCATGGTTGTGAAAATGTCAAATGGTTCCAGAGTCACTTCAATTCTGAAGTGGCAGCTCTGCAACACTGGTCTTCACTTAAGTGCACAGCGTATTATTACTGTAATCAATCACTTCGGTGAAGGCTCTGTGATGTTTGACGGGTTGTTTGACGTGTTTCGCTTCAATACCAAAGTCAAAAGTACTACTTTTCTGAACATGAGTACATTACAAGCTACTTGCGCACACATTTTCATTTCATTATTTTACTCTTTTCATGCTGAAATGGAATATCACTGACTGCAAAAAAAAAAAATTGAATATTTGATTGCATGCTAGTTGAAATAATGATGAAACTGACACAAAACAACACATTACTTCATTTTTTGCTTGGAATTTTAAACTGAGTAGCTTGCAATTATGCTATGGGAATTTGACACATTTGACACATTCTTGACTCATTCAGTATCTTACCAACAAGTTCAAGAAAGCTTCTCAAGCTTTACTTCAGGTGCACGTTACCCCACGTGGTGGAAATTTCTAAAGCCCTCCACAATGGGGTCTCTCATAATCATAGGGTAGTTTTCGGTCGTTAAACCCGATCAAGTATTATTCTCAAGGTTTACTGAGGTTTTAATTGCTACGGGAAAAATAAAAGAGAACACAGTCACAGGCTAGATGTTTCAGGCATTTACGATTTGCTGCTGTATGCCTTTTGTAGAAGCACTGAGTGCTGTATGGTGTACTGCGCAGTGTCCTCGAGCACAGCAGACCTGGTGAGGGTCATGCGCATTGTGGACCCGCATCGTAGAAACCGTAAGTACCTTACCCTGGATTTTAACTTATCAAAGTAAAGCTGTGGGCTAGTTGGTTTTGCATTGTGGATTCTTCAGTTTGAAGAAACCACGATCATCGGCGACCTAAATAGCACAAGAAGGTTCGTCGGGCTTGAGTAAGGCATTTCATCATTATGGTGAAGTAGCACACTTTTGATGATGCTCGCTACACTTGCAACTAAATTTATTTCAGAAAAAATAATTCATGTATAAGCGCTCATACTCCAGGAGTGAAACAGAGATAATATAAAAGTCAATGGAAACTTATCTGATGGCATATTTTGCAAACTCAAGCAATGAAAACGTAGCATGTTTAGCCGCGCGTGTAGCCAGTGCCTTGTCCAAACGATCCTCCTCGTCACATGAGCTGTCAACCTAGACATTGCAGTCCACTTCCACGAAGTCGTCCGCATACACTTTGTGTGAATCTGCTGCTGGGAAGCGGGACAACAACTCGCGAAACGCGTTGTGTGAATCTGCTGCTGGGAAGCGGGACAACAACTCGCGAAACGCGTTGTCTATGCGCTCATCATCTTCACCGGTTTTCCACAAGTTCCGCCGTCTCGAAGCCTGCCCTGCAGAAGCAGATGACCCCTGGTGTCCGTCTTCACGTCTCGCCAGGCATTGAAGATCTCCGCGGGAGAAGACTTCGCGGAGATTTTCGGCCACTCCTTCGTCATCCACTGGTGGTTGTCCTGGCTGCTGACAGCTTCTTTTTTGCCAGAATTGGTTTTGCCAACGGTGTTGTAGTGCTGCCTAAATAGGTGAAGCCACCCGCTGTTGTCTGCGAAGTTGTTTCACCAAGTGCAGCGGCAAACCATTTGGCCTTGGCGATCAGCATCAAGCCATCCACCAGAATGTTCTTCGCGTGCAGTTCTAAAAACCAGGCATACAGTGCCTTTTCTACATTCCTGTGGGCAGAAGTGTGCACATTACAGGCTCCCGACGTTTGTTGCTGCGCCACTTTTGCCTTGCTATCTGCCTTGTTTTTCAACGAGGTACTCGGAGTGCTCCGTGGTATCCCGAAGTTTTCTCGCTCGAACGGCCGAACATTTCTCGCCTGCCTCAACACGCTGAATAGCCTTCAACTTCATCACGAACTTGACGCTGGCCTAGCTACACGAGAAGTCGACAATTCATGGAGTCCGCAACGGCTTTGCAAACCACGCGCGCAAAAGGGAAGTGCTGCACATGCGGCGTTACGTAGGCGACGTGACAGCTCGAGAGCAACAAAGCATGAGAGTAACAAAGCGCTCGCTAGGCGATGGCTACCTGTGAGGGCAACAGCAAAAGGCGCGAGCTGTGGTTGGCTGATAAAAACTCGCAAAACAGCTACAAAAAAATAAAAGAACAGGCGAAAGGAGGAGGACGTCGGCTCCTTTGTTCCTGCTCTCCGAGCCGAGGGGTACGCGGAGAAAGCATGAGAGAGACAAAGAGAAACAAAAAAAGCCGTTCCACAAGTTGGAAATTGTGCCGTCCGAGCCCTCTCGCCCTTGCCTTTTTTCTAGCATTTTAGGTTTTTGCGGAGGCGTGGTGCCGCGCGGGCGGAGGTCACTGGACGCTGCGAGTGCCGTTCGATATATCCGAAGGCAGGTAAAAATACCGATCAATATAAACGTGCGAGTTTCTATACTTTCACAAAGAAATTTCAAGGGGATAACTTGCGAGTTCGATATACTTGAAAATTTGATATATGTGGGTTCGATATAACCGTGTTTGACTATTCACATCATCTCACCATAGGGCACACTTTATTTTTATAATATTTACGTCAGTGCCCAACATCAATGCTGAGGTTGTGTCAGGTAATAAATTTCTCTTTAAATGCCAGTGTAGTTGACCACTACTACCACACTGACAAGAACACGTCAATGCACCTCGCAAAGCCTGTGTGAAAAAAAAATAATAATAAGAGGATATGTGGCTTAGACGAGTACTCGCTGACACCTTTGCGTAAAATCGATTCCCACAGCTCATAAAATTTTAACGCGAAACAAGTACAGTCGCTTATAACGAACTAAGCATGACACGGCGTCCGTTCGCTGTATCCCGAAGTTCGTAGCAAATGGAACACAGCCTTTAAAAAAGGTTGCGAGTGAAAACAAACTTTTTTTGCCATGAAAAGTCCGTGATGCACGTGTTTCGAAGAGGAGAAGCGATAAGGGCGGTCTCGAGTTCATTTAAAACGGCTGGGTGCTCCTTTGCAGAGGCCCGTGGCATAAGCTACATCAGGCACTGGCTCCAAAGTTTCGTCGTTCTCGCAATCAGATTCCTCCAAATCGCTCTCACCACGTACTTCATTCACAGTGCCCCAATCTGTGCACGGTTCCGCAGTGTTGGCATCATCATCGGCCGTTATTAAATTGTCGCAACAGATGTGCCACCCGCTCTCCCAGGTTGGAGTCGACGCCGCGCTGCCACAAATCCCCGCCACAGTGGTCCTGTTCGGAAGCTTGAGGCTCGGCATCGGGCCCGATGTCGACGAAGTCGACCTTGCAAAAACAGTTTCGCGCGCATGTAGCCGTCACAGCCGCCCACGAAATATTCACCATCTCCACAGCTGAATACCGGGACACCCGAAGAGGCAAGTTTGCTGCCGAGTAGTCAACAGCTATGAGCAAGCGCTCCGCAATGCGGCACCTGATGTGCCGATTACGCTCAAGCCAAGCGGTCACACTTTCGACGGTTTGTTGAGCGCCAGGAAAAAGCGTGCTAGTCCTCCCATCTGCCATCATGACCACACACGCACATCAAGAGCGAGTAAAACGCGCACACGCGACACACATACCAGAACGCGTGGAACAGCTCTAGGCCCGTTTCCAGTCAGAAAAAGAAACTAATTCGAGCCAGCGTGGCTGGCGTCGCGGAGCGGTGGAAACGGATGAAGGGGTTGTGATCAAGAGAGGAGAACAGATTTGCAAGAGAAGGGCAAGTAGTTGCGATAGAGAGAGGGGAGGATGCCGCAGGAGGGTGACCTTGAAAACCAAAACACACGGGAAGGAGGCAAGTTGGGTAGCTTGCTTGAAAGGTCCAGAAAACTCGCACGTAGAAAAACATGAAAGAGTTCCTGCATGCGCAGAAGTCAAAGACCGGCCGCCTGGATCGGTGCTTGCGGCTGTGTTCGAAGAATCGGCGGCCGTGGTCAAAAAATTGTTTTTTTGCGCTGGTGGGTTTGCGTGGCCTCACGAACTTCTATATTTCGCGATTCGTTGAGTGCAAATTAACAGCCATTCTCGCGCATCCGCAGGCACGAGGAAGGCATGCTGAGTTGAGTACGAAGTGAGGGATAACAAGTCCTAAACATGAAACGAATCACAAATTATCAGAGTCGGTGGGGTAGCGTACGCGCGTGCACTAGACGGAGACTATCGGATACAGTCGGTGGCCGACTATGTTGGCAAATGGTCTGGTCACTTCAGGACGGTGAAACCAATGACAGTACCAGCGATCAAAAACAAGGTAGATGGCAGACTGGTCTTCCAAAGATCGATGGCTGTGTGAAAACACGGGCCTCGTCTGGCGATGCGGGCTGCTCAGAGTAGCGGGGGGACAAAGGACGGAAGGGTGCATAACAAAAAGCAGTCGGGGCACGGAGGAAGGAAACATCTTTTCTTCCTCCATGGGTCGGGGAGAGCGGCAACTAGAGGGTCGTGGAGGCAGGGTCGACGTTTAACAATAAAAATGTATGGGCACCTCGCCGATGCCTGATCGGTGGTCGAAAGAGGTTTCCCGGGAAGTCGGCAGACCGCCGAATCCGTTCGCTGTAAGCGATCTGCAGCGCTCGGAGACGTTCATTGTAAGTGCGATTCTGTGCCATTGAACGAATGTATATTTTCATGGTCACACAAATATTGTTCGTTTTAAGCGAAAGTTCGTTTTAAGCGAAAGTTCGTTTTAAGTGGGGCCGTTATATGTGGACTGAATTGCATATGTAGCAGGGCTCACTAAGACTTCAGTGACGTGTTTCCGTCTTGGAAATGACGTCGTATTCACATGTCAAAGAAAGTTCCGTCAATGGGCATCATATTAATGACTTCTGAATGCATCGCCACAAGTGCTGAGCACGCTACTCACTCCATAACGGCCACATATTTTAACCGCTGCACAAACGCGCCTTATATATCTCATAGACAAGAGGACAATAGCTGTGTAATGTTATTCTCTTAGAGCGGTAAAGTAGTTCATCATTACTGTGGCCTCAGCAATTAGCACCTGCAATGCATACTGCCACGTGTCTGTCTCATACGGTGCATTTTCAATGCAAGTGCAATTTCATTAATGCATTAACACACCCCAAGGTGGTGGCCATAGTCCAAGGGTCTATCTCGCTTACGGTGTCCATCGAAATAGTCCTGTGACACACACGTGCTTCACGGGTCGAAGCACATTGTTTACACTCATTGTGTTTGCATTAACAATATTTCTTAAAGGGCCTTCAAGAACCTGCATAAATACTCCAATACAAACGGTGTAAACAAAATTTTTTTTTGAAATATAAGAAAATGTGGGTGATTATAACGTTAAACTATGCTTCGTGTCTTCCTTTCGAAATGATTCTTAGCTGTGTATAAATGGTCAAAACTTTCCGGGTCATGCACACAGCGCCAGCGTGTTACATGAGGCAACAAATGACGTGAGAATGATCCATTGCATAGTGACCACTTATTCATGACCATGTAAAAAACAAGAGAATGAACTTTTTCAATGCGGCATATTGTTTGCCATTGGTTCTTCGACATTTGCAATTTTCTGAGTGTCATAAAATCGCTTGCTTGTTACATGACGTCACGAATCTGTGAAATGTTGTAGTGTTTATTACAGTACATGCATATTAAACAGTGAATTCACGTGCTGAACATTACCTAACACTTTTTTGAATAGTCAGAGGGCATCTTCTCTTAAATGTAATTCAAGTAGGCCAGCCCCCGGTCACATTAGCAGAAGCTATACTTATAACAGCTGGCAAAATGGATTGATAAGAGTGTAATAAAATATGTTTACTTGCCGCATAAGGGTGCTTGGAAGTTTGCACACGTATACATCCCTGTGAGCTCATCCTTGCTGAGAGAGACAGAAAGAGAGAGAACTAAGCAGCATTGTACTTGTGCGCTTCTTTGCTGTCCAAGTTGTATTTTGATCTGGTAAAGACAATTCATGTTGAATGAAAACCAACTAGGCTGACTCTTAAGCCCCCACAGTGCTAAAAATTGTGGTCTTTCCCCCTTCTCCTTGGTCTAGTAGGTCTAGTTTCGGGGTAAGCTTAATAAAAGTTCAACTTGCTGCTGTGGTCGAGTTCACTGCTTTATTCACAGCCACTTTTCAAGCTGCCGCCATCGCTCCAAGTTACCGTAAGGTAGTAGTATACACGTATCCCGAAGGAGTACGGCCACTAGCGTAAGTCCAGTCTTAACCAGCCGCAGGGCACGCGTTAATTGTTGCCGAGGCGGGAACACTGTACTGCTCAAGCAGGCAACACTTCATTGCTTGTGGCAACACCAAAACGCAGTACAGAGCCTTTTGCAACAAGGACGGTGGGAAAGCAAATGGGCTTATCCACGCGGCAGGCGAAAACTACTACCCAGGGTGTCGTGAGCATGTCTCCGGGGGTAAAAAATTTTCACGGTGACACCGGAACAACATGGCCCAGTCGCTCGAGAGAGTGCGAAATTCCGCTCGCGTTGGCTTCGAGAGATACGGGTCAGCGTAGTACAACCACGAGTGAAGACACCGCACCGCTCTTCGTCCTAGCGTTCGAAGAAGGCAACAAAAGGTGAGCGTACGCTGCGGGCATAGGGCGCTATTGGTGAAGTCCAACAAGCCCCAAACAATAGGAGCCGACGGACCGAAAACAAATGTGTGCTCACCCTAAGTCGTCCTGTAAAGATCTAACTCACTCCCGACGGGCACCCGCGAAACGTCCCGAGAGACTTTGTGTACGGCGCCATAGTCGACATCCACTACCGGGTGAGAGGGATGAATGCTCACTCCCGCTCTCCCAGCACGACAGACTGCGGAGGAGGGAAGAGTCATGTCATGACATGAGAACGGCATAAATAAGCAGCAAAGCCTGCGCACTGGCGGAGGGCTAGCCTGAATTCCCACAAGGTTTATCGGAGACTTAAGTGGAAACATTTCTTTTTTTTGTGCTTCTAAAAAACACTAAAACATTAAAACATTCATCACACTCATCGGCTCACAACAGATTTAACAGAGCAGCTTCGATGAAATAAACTGATTTTCCTGAAGCAGCATACGCTTTGACCGATCCATAGAAAGTTTACTTGTTCCCATCCGTAACTTCATCGGCCAGTCACAGCAAAATAAAATCGTAAACAACTGATGTAATGCTATAGGGCCCCTGTTCAGCGCTGGCCTGATCTGTAATACTACAGCACAAGCAGCAAAAGCATCACATAGTCGGCCCGCACCGCAAAGAGCCTACAAGAAAAATTGGCACAAAAGAAATGTTGGAAAATTATATTGTAACGTTCTCTTGTAACAAAGGAAAATTGGCACAAAAGAAATGTTGGAAAATTATATTGTAACGTTCTCTTGTAACAATATAATTGAGTGATTATTGTGATGAAGGAAAACTTTGCCTTAGTTGTTGGTTTCCCCAGCCTCATGCACTCCTTGCCCCCCTACCCCCCGGCTGATACGCCTGTGGCCATAGCCCACAGTTCTTTGCGTGAGCCATGATTTTGCTATCCACCTATCGGCATCCGTTTTTCCTGGCAGCCAGGGCACCTTTTTTCTGGGCAGCACGCAGGCTGACCTTTTTAAAGAGCGCAGGTGGTACCTTTTTCCCGGGACCCACGTACACTACCACTGCGCAGCACGTGGCACCATCTCTGGATAGCTGGAGCAGCTAGATAAGTTAACAAAACACAGCCATTAGATAAGTTTGCATTGACTTATTTCATTTTTGTCTCTCTTGGGGGGGGGGGGGGGGTGCATACGCGCATATGCCGGTGCTTAAGAGCACTTGCAGCATAATAGGTGTACCCACAGTATGGTCGTGAGAAATCAGAGTTGTGTTGTTTTCGCACATAATACCAGCGCCCCAAACCATCAGTGATCAGTAGTTCTGTATTGTATTTGCATAGTTTCCATGCGACGCCCCCTCACGTTAACTGGAACATGGAAAAATAAAAGAAAAAAGACCCCCAGCAGCATTGCGCTAGCTGCGTGGGCTCACTGAGGGAGGAAGAAGGGCAGTTGCCTGAGTGTCAGAGAGGAAGCCCAATATTCAAGCTGTCTTGTACAAACTTCCCACGACATTATTGTTAGTTTTAATTTTGATTCTATTGCTGAGTTATTGCATGCTTGTTTGCTTTAATGCAAATTTTGTGTATTTGTTTCATTCGTCCAATGTATAAACTGTGTTTGTCTTGTCATGCCCATTTTTCATCTCTCTCAATGCAATCTTTCGCAAGCACTCCCAATGATTAAATGGTAACAAGTATCTTGCTGAGCAGTTCATAGCCATGTCTGCTTTCCTTAGATGAGTTCTTGCAAGGAGCCCAAGGGGCGCGTCATGAGTCTCATGATCCCTTTAAGATGTGCTATACTTAGAGCATATAGCTGTCATAACATGCTTTTAAAATTAAGAAAGAATTGATGTGGAGGTAATATGTTCAATTAACCTTGAAGTAGAGATTTGCGGCAATGCGAGATTCCCCTGGAGTAGTCTATAATCTTTTATTGCAGTGACATCATCTTTACAGGGGTGTTACGTGTGGCCTAATGTACAGTTATTCATTCTTTTCAAATACTTCCAAATCAAATACTGTAATATTCATTCGAGTATTCAAATTGCTCGAATATTTGCACAAGCCCAAAAAATTCATTAGCAACATTTTGGTTACATTGGGATGCTGCCATGCAACCTGCGAGCACATCTGACTGCGCAGGAGATCTGCACGTGTTCCAGGTACTATGCCAGGCATTCGGGGAAACGGTGAGTATTTCGAAAAACAGGAGGAACCAGTTGAGCATCAAGTGCCATGACGCAGGTTCTTGCGCTGTCTGTGGGAAACAACGTCTCAGCCAGCCTCCCAAGCCCAGCTTCCAGTGAGGCCGCCATCAGGCAAGCCACATTTCATCATCATCATCATCATCAGCCTGACTACGTCCACTGCAGGACAAAGGCCTCTCCCATGTTCCGCCAGTTAACCCGGTCCTGTGCTTGCTGCTGCCAATTTATACCCGCAAACTTCTTAATCTCATCTGCCCACCTAACCTTCTGTCTCCCCCTAACCCGCTTCCCTTCTCTGGGAATCCAGTCAGTTACCCTTAATGACCAGCGGTTATCCTGTCTACGCGCTACATGCCCTGCCCATGTCCATTTCTTCTTCTTGATTTCAGCTATGATATCCTTAACCCCCGTTTGTTCCCTAATCCACTCTGCTCTCTTCTTGTCTCTTAAGGTTACGCCTACCATTTTTCTTTCCATTGCTCGCTGCGTCGTCCTCAATTTAAGCTGAACCCTCTTTGAAAGTCTCCAGGTTTCTGCTCCGTAGCTAAGTACCGGCAAGATACAGCTGTTATATACCTTCCTCTTGAGGGATAGTGGCAATCTACCTGTCATGACTTGCGAGTGCTTGCCGAATGTGCTCCACCCCATTCTTATCCTTCTAGTTACTTCAATCTCGTGGTTCGGCTCTGCGGTTATTACCTGCCCTAAGTAGACATAGTCTTTTACAACTTCAAGTGCACTATTACCTATCTCGAAGCGCTGCTCCTTGCCGAGGTTGTTGTACATTACTTTCGTTTTCTGCAGATTAATTTTAAGACCCACCTTTCTGCTCTCCTTGTCTAACTCCGTAATCATGAGTTGCAATTCGTCCCCCGAGTTACTCAGCAATGCAATGTCATCGGCGAAGCGCAGGTTACTAAGGTATTCTCCATTGACTCTTATCCCTAACTGTTCCCATTCTAGGCTTCTGAAAACCTCCTGTAAGCACGCGGTAAATAGCATTGGGGAAATTGTGTCCCCCTGCCTTACACCCTTCTTGATTGGTATTCTGTTGCTTTCTTTATGAAGCACTATGGTAGCAGTTGATCCCCTGTAGATTTCTTCCAGAATGTTTATATATACTTCGTCTACGCCCTGATTCCGCAGTGTTTGCATGACGGCTGATATTTCTACTGAATCAAACGCCTTCTCGTAATCTATGAAGGCTATGTATAGTGGTTGGTTATACTCTGAGCATTTCTCTATTACCTGATTGATAGTATGAATGTGGTCAATTGTTGAGTAGCCTGTTCGAAATCCTGCTTGTTCCTTTGGTTGATTGAATTCTAATGTTTTCTTTACTCTGTTAGCAATTACCTTTGTAAATAGCTTGTATACGACAGAGAGCAAGCTGATCGGCCTGTAATTCTTCAAGTCCTTGTCATCTCTTTTCTTATGTATTAAGATGATGTTAGCGTTCTTCCAAGACTCTGGTACTCTTCCCGTCAGGAGACACCTCGTAAACAGGGTGGCTAGTTTTTCTAACACAATCTGTCCTAGATTTAATGCTTATTTAAGCCACATTTAATGCTTATTTAAGCACTTGCTTTCAAAACTACGACCGTAGATTATATTAGGCCCGGGAAGCTGGAGTGGCACTGCCTGGTGGGAGGCTTGCAAGATGTCATGGCACGCACTCATTGTCTTTTGCTGTGGTGCACGTATGCATAACACACGCTCGCTTCCTTGGCCCTTGTGCTGCTGGCTTTCACCTTTCTGTTTGTCTCACGTCTAAAATGAATGATGAAAGCAGCATCGATGATGTTTCCGGTAAAAAAAATGAACTAAGCCTCTTTTTTTTTTCAGTAGAATCGCCAACAGTGCCCACGCCCTAGCGTACACGCTTTAATCAGGTTTGTTATGGTGCCTCGCTGCTTACCTCGAAATTGAGTTCGATTCTTCGCTACTGCAGCCGCGTTCCGACGGGGGTGAACTGCTAGACCATGCATTCGCTTAGATTCAACAGTGTGTAAAAAAATGCGAGGTGGCCACAATTACTCTACAGAGTGCCTCGCAATCATATTGTGCTTTTGAAACGTATACGACAGTGTATTTGCAATTCAAGTTGCGTTGTACGTAGTTGATTCCTTTAAAAAGATGTGATTGTTTTCCTTCTACAAGTGGTACTTTTATCAGACGCGTCCGAGTAACGGTGGGCGGCATTTTTTTCCGGTGTGCCAAGCCACGCGCGCGTGCTTAGTATCGAGTGTTGCAAAATATCTCGACTGCGCTCGCCCGAGAATAACGCCGCAGCTGTTGCATTACATTTTCTTGTGTATAGTTGCTCAAGTGTTGCATTTAGTTATTCAAGCTCATGTTTCTTCTCAATAATTTCACTCAGAATTTCACTGCAATTTCACTACATTTCACTACAAAAACAGCCTGTGGTTAATGGCAGAGACTGCTTCTGCTGTCAGATAATGTCTTCGTGCAACTTCGTATAGCAACTGTTCTGTCACACTTGTAAGTACCAGTTTAGATAGCCACCTCATAAGTAAATTTTTTCCACAATTGATTACTCCTGAGCCGCATTGACTTATATATGGACATGACGTGCGAGACCAGTCGTTGCCTCATTGGGGCAAAAGATGTTTCGTTATTACATGGGGCACAAAGCTGAATGCGCCATTAAAACATTTCATTTCTACTTCCTGGCGTTTGTTTTGAAAATAATTGCCATCATCGGTACTCCTTTGTGAAATCAACATTACAGCTTATGATGTAGCGGTAGATCGTGTCAGGTGTTTGTGCAAGTCAGTGTATGAGACTGACAACTGTTGAGAAGAAATCTGTAAGTGAGATTCGAGTATACCAACGTCTCCGAATCCTGGAAACCATTATGTAGGTTGCAGAATTACTTTATGTTTCCAAATGTTAGAAGTGATTGCGTGTGACAGCCAAATTCATATAAAGTCTCCTGAATCACAAAGCAGAATTCTCTCAAATGACTGACATTATTTGCAGAGGTAGACATAACTTGCACGGTAAATCCCAATGCTATTAGTAAATTCAAAACATCCTAGTTTCATTTGTAAAACTCCCACACACATGTTTAATGGTGTAGTCTAAGCCGAGCTGTAACGAAGATAGACCCATTTAACACAAATATTTTCTTAGCACCGATTTTGTGGAGTATGCGCATTGTGAAAATTACTTGTGTCTCGCTGTAGTGCACCCCCCATTTTCAAAGTGGATCATCTGTTTGAATGGGAGTTCTCCATCCCAAGCCATATTTATCCATACTTTCTGCAGTTTAGTTAATGCTTTATAATAATACAGTATAATCTCATTAAAACAGACCTCCATAGTGAAGAGGAGTTTGGTCTGTTGTAAAAGGAGTATGTAAAATCCAAGTGCCGTTACAATAGACTGAATGGGTCTGTGATAACTGGGCAAACTGACGAGTCATGTCGAATTTATTCTCAAAGGGGCATAAAAGAGTTGACCTTTTTTGGAAATCAATATTTAGAGTCTGTAGCCTTTTTTCTATCTGATTTCAACATATCTTCACCGAAAACTATGTAGAAGTGCAGTAATGTTTTTGCGCTTGCTGAGGTGATGAACATCATCGTGGAAGTCACACACAAAAAAAGTTTTTCACAAATTTATAGTTTCGCGTTGGCACAACTGTCTACCACCATTTCGTGCTCGTCGTAAAATTATTTTGTGAGGAGCATTCCGTGTTCAAAAAGCAGAGGTCTGAAATTCATTTGGAACATTCTGAATGGCTGCTTCGGCCGTATTGCTTCAGTGTGACCCACTAGTGCGATGCCCGTTCCGGATATGCTTCCGGAATAGCCTCGTCTCCTTCTTGTGCGTCGCGCGGCCGTGGCTGTCTAAAGGTGCACTACTTAGTGACATTTTTGCGCTCGTTCTAGGTTTGCGAGTTGTTAAAGCAGCTGCAAGCAGAAGTTCAGACTACGATCGCGCGCCGTACTCGTCGCGAACATCACATGCGCGCGTCTCTGAATTTGTAGCGTTGACTTGTTGGTGAGAAGGTTCTGCTTATCAGCGTTTCAGACCTTGCGACGAAGACCACAGCGGAACAGACCGTTGTACTTGCGATCTAGCGTGTCGTAATTTGAAACATCGGGCACCGCGGCCATGAACATCGCAGTCGTGCTTTCTGCTCGAAGTCATGGTTAGGCCTAACACCGCCCCAAACTTGGCGGGCAAGACCCGCCAAGACCAAGAATAAGCCGTAATGTGTTTCGTCGCAAGCAACAAATCCCATTGGCCGCTGGCTCCTTAGAACTGCGAATCTTGTTCATTGGTTGCAACCCCAGCCATGCTCTCCGCACACCGATCGCTTGGAACAGCGGGGGCGGCGGCTAGCAATTACGCGCATCAGCGCCCCAACATGCAAAACCAAGCTTGCTGCACGCCAATTTTTCGTTGCTGAAGCTTGGCGTAATTAATCATTATTAGACCAGATATTGGCGGCCTTTGCTTTTAAATCAGTACGCCGATATCCGCGGCTCTATTCTCATCCTGAAAGTATGACACACGACGCTTTAAGACGAAAGTTACAGAATTGCAGATGTCCATGGCAGAAATGTCCGCTGTAACGTAGTCATGAGCACGTTGCAGGTCTCACATTTTAGTTAACTATATTTGGATGTCCGCTGTACCAGAATCCCTAGTAAATGAAGTCCAAGCAATGCAACAAATAGGGAGGTCGGCATTATGCCACCAATCGGTATGTACTAGTAACCGAATTCTTGTTGTAAGTGCATCTGTTGTAATGAGGTTATACTGTAGATACCTTTACTTTGTACCTTGCGGCATCTACACTGCTAAATAAAGAGGAATAGGCATGTATCGCAGAAGAAAGGGTACTCGGCGGGCTCGAAAAAAAAGCAACCGTCAGCATGCGTTGGCGCCGGAGCAGAAGAGTCCTTGCCATGAATGTCACTTCGCCATGACTGCAGCAATGCCAGTGTTCGTTCTTGGGATTAATAGTTGAACTGATTTATGCGACACAAGAAAGATGCACTCACACATTACTACGGCTTCATGACATAATATTTTTGTCTCAATGAGGCAACGACTGGTCTCACACATCATGTCCA